GTAGTCGTAGTAGTAGTAGTAAAGTAGTAGTAGTAGTAGTAGTAGTAGTAGTAGTAGTAGTAGAAGTAGTAGTAGTAGTAGTAGTAGTAGTAGTAGTAGTAGTCGTAGTAGTAGTAGTAGTAGTAGTAGTAGTAGTAGTAGTAGTAGTAGTAGTAGTAGTAGTAGTAGTAGTAGTAGTAGTAGTGGTAGTAGTAGTAGTAGGAGGAGGAGGAGGAGGAGGAGGAGGAGGAGGAGGGGGGTCCGTCGGGGGGGGACCTTTTTGTCACGCTGTTGGCTGGGACTAGACTGCCCGCGGGCCAACGACAGGATCCCCCTTGGGGAAAATATCGTCATTTTCTTCAGGATCCATCCTTGGACGGAACTGACTCTCCGAGCTCACGGGATTCGGCCCCATGGAACCAGAAAACATGGAGACAGCCAGACTAGCAAAGACTGGAGGCCAGTCCCGAAAGACAGTGGGCTCTCGGACCCGGGGCCCTCGCAAGCCGCGGCTCAGAATGCGCATCCGAGAACCGAGAACCGAACAGCCCAACAACCACGGTTCTGGGAGAGATCGCCGTTCCCAGTTTTCGTGTTCTGTGAACATGTTTGAAACGATGCAGACTGCTCGAATTGATCTCTCCGGGTCCAGCACCTGCTGGAGCAGAACCTGGGCAAACATCAGACAGCCCATCTGGCACCCGAGGAGACAGTCGCACACCCTCGACACGTTGTGCAGAATAGAGCGCAGCGGAGGACGACCCCCCTCCTGCACAGGGAACTCCAAGAGGCGATGACCCCTCCTCCTCCTCCCTCCTCCCCCCTCCCTCCTCCTCCTCCTCCTCCTCCTCCCCCTCCTCCTCGTCCTCGTCCTCGTCCTTCCTCCTCCTCCTCCTCCCTCATCCTCCCTCCTCCCCCTCCTCCTCCTCCTCCTCCATCCTCCTCCTCCTCCTCCTCCTCCTCCTCCTCCTCCTCCTCCTCCTCCTACGCCCACCCCCATCCAGGGCGCAGTCCCGGCTTCGGCACCCTCCAGAAATTTCCAAAGCGAGGCTTCAGCTGCAGCAGAGAGTTCATGATGGGTCGGGCGGAACAGCTTGAGGGCGTCGACAGGCGGGTCTCCGCGATCTCTGACTCGTAACATGGACGGAAGCTCAAACGAGACCTTCTCGAAACCCTGCGCTCCGACATTGTCAAACGTAGCCGGGGTCGCCATGGTGCACTTCCGACTTGGCGATGTCCTCCAGCAGATCTAAAGCAATGGACACAATTTTTGGCCAAGCGAATCTCCGACGGGGCATGCTTCGCTATACCAGCACCTGGCTTAGCCAAGCAGTCGGCCCCTCGGTTGCCAGCCCATTCGAACTCAGACAAGCGACCTTCTGCGCCGTCAGTAGTCGAAACACGGGCAGGAATCTCTCTGAAGACGGTGCTGTCGAGACCTCCGGATGCAGGGACTCGTTCCCAGAGGTGAGCCCTCGTGCTGGCGGGGCCGAGCGCGCGCGCAGCCGCTGCAGCACAGGGGCGCCCCTCCGCTGTCCGTGCAGAGCGAAGCAGAACCTTCACACCTGGCCACAGTGAAGACATCAGAATCCTCACCGTCTCCTGCCACCTGATCTGGGCAGGCGGGGAGCACTTCAACTGACAATGCAATGGGCACTGCGGTGATCAACCATCTTCGTTCTCGAGGAACGAGAACCCAGCAACAACACAAACAGCAACAACAACAGCAACACCACATCCCCAGGACGAGCATTTTTTCCTCTTGGGCCCGGAACGACGGCTTGAAGTCTTGAGCAGACGCGAGTGGAATTCGGACCTCATGCAGATCGCGCGGACCCAAGTGTGTTATTGGCTTGGTGTTTGTTGCTGGCCTGTGTCTGAGAAGAAGAACTGATCTGCTGATGCATCCACCTGATTCGTGTAATGCTGATGCTGTCGGGACTGATGAGCGCGTTCACCAGTCCACTCCGTTCGTACAGATGACGTCGCCTACAAATGAAAGCAATCATGGCCGTGAGCTCTGCATCGTTCGACGGTAGATTGCCTCCCGCCATCGCCAACAACTCAGCCCACTGTGGCGGTGGTATGCCAACAAATTCAGTAACATCCAGGCCAGATTCAGTATCCCCGTGTGGAAATTGCCGAGATGCTCTGCCTTGAACTTCAGAAAATAGAACCTCGCCAGTGCTTGATCTATCGGTTCTCGTGGTCTGCGTCGAAAAGCCACCAGGTCTGTCATAGTCGTGATTGCTGTCTCCACTTCCAGCGGCATAAACTTTCGGCGCAAACCATGTATCAGAAGATCCATTCAAGAATTCTGTCGATTTCCATTGCCATCTCGAAGAGCCATGTACACTCCATCTTGTAGCTGTTCAGGCCGTACTTCTCTTGATATTTCTCGTGCTAAACTTCCGAGCTGAAGAACCACGGCTGGCGCCATGGATCTCTGTGGAATGTCCGCCATCGACTCCCATATGCTCACGTCCGTAATCCAATCTCGTAGTGGGTACATTGCTTCTCGACTGGGATCCCAGTTCGGAGGCACTTTCGTGTTTGACTGCATGATGAAGCCCGTTGCTGGTCCAGCCCCGTGGGGTACATTCGCCATGTTGTTGTTGTTGTTGTTGTTGTTGTTGTTGTTGTTGTTGTTGTTGTTGTTGTTGCGCAAGGTGTGGTTGTCCTGGGAGCAGGTACGGGATCGCACCTGCTCCGCTACCATTTGTTTCCTCAAACTCCTCCTCCCAAACTCTTTGGAAACAATCGCTGAGGTTCTCTGGGAAGGCTGGCGCGTCCGCCGGTGAAACTGTGCTGCAACTGACCCTCAAGCTGATCAGGCTCGAGGGGAGAGATATGAAGAGGATGTGGACGAGCGTCGTCGCGGTTGTTAACTCGTCGCCTTGAGCGATATGGAGGATAGAATGGGGCTGAGGCCGCCACGGGCAAGATATACACTCTGAGAGGCTTCTCACTGACCGGCTTGAGCCAAGACGCCGTCGGAGCGTCGTGCTGTCATGAAAAACACACACATCTATCATACTCTGCTGGATATCCCGCCCCTCCTGCCTTTCGGGAGGAAGCCTACACTATAACTGGAGGAGGAGGAAGAGGAGTCGCGACAACGTTGCTCTACTCAAAACGAGAACCCAACGCAGGAGGGTTGGGGAAATAGTTGCGCAACACACTATCTGTGAGTCATCTGGAGATTTCTGGGATCGGCGCTGGAGGCGCTGGAGGCGCCGCCAGGGGGGCCCAGCGCCGATCCAAGAAATCCGCGCGGAGCCCAGAGAACTTGTGTGTGTGTGTGTGCCGTTTCTTGCTCTTCGGGACTGACGACGACGACAACGACGAAGATGACGACGACCACGACCACGACCACGGCCATGACCACGCCCACAACGACCACGACGTCCACGACGACCCCAACGACCACGACGCCCACGACCCCCACCACGACGACGACGACGCCCACGACCACGACCACGACCACGACCACGACGACGACGACGCCGACGACCACGACCACGACCACGACCACGATGCCGACGACGACGACGACGACGACGACGACGACGACGACGACGACGACGACGACCACGACCACGACGACGACGACGACGACCGACGACGACGACGACGACGACGACCGACGGGCCTTCGACCGATCGCTCGATCGACGGCCGTCGCCGCCGGCGGCGCCCGCGCCAAGGGCAGGCCTGCCGGGCGCGCCCCGCCGGCGCCGAGCCCGGCGGCCGCGGCGGAGGCGTGGGCTGCGGCGGCCTGCCCCCGGGCCCGGGCGCCCCTCGACCTCGCCAGGCCTCCGCCCGTCGCCCTCGCCGGGAAGGCCCCTGCAGAGGAGGAGTATCGAGGAGGATCGAGGAGGATCGAGGAGGAGGAGGAGAGGCGGAGGAGGAAGAGGAGGAGGAGGAGGAGGAGGAGGAGGAGGAGGAGGAGGAGGAGGATCGAGGAGGAGATCGAGGAGGATCGAGGATGATCGAGGAGGAGGCGGCGGAGGAGGAGGAAGAGGAGGAGGAGGAGGAGTATTGAGGAGAAGGAGGAGGAGGAGGAGGAGGAGGAGGAGGAGGAGGATCGAGGAGGATCGAGGAGGATCGAGGAGGAAGAGGGGGAGGAGGAGGAGGCGACGGATGAGGAGGAGGAGGAGGAGGAGGAGGTGGAGGAGGGTTCGGCTGCCACGTCGTCCTGCTTCGCCTACCGCTCGTCCTCTGGGTCGTCCTCTCCACTCTTGCTCCTGCCTCCTCGGCGTCCTCGTCGTCGCCGCCCTCCTCTCTCTCCATCCTCCTCGTCGTCCTCCTCCTCGTCTTCTTCGTCCCCCTCCTCCTCCTCTTCCTCGTCCTCCACCTCCTCGTCCTCCTCCTACGATCTGATTGCTCCCGTACCAGCGTTTTGTCCCGACGGCCACGGGGGCAGGCTGTTCGGCCCCGGGGCCCTCAGAAATGGACCTGGGGCGGAAAACAGATCGGCGGACGACGACGACGATGACGACGAACTTACCTCACTTCCTCCATCGGGGTGCAGGGCGAGAATCAGACCACGTTGGCGAAGCTGGCGGCAATCACCAGAGGGCATAGCGGCCCATGGGTTGCGATTGGCGATTGGTACTCGGAGGCGCACGAGCTCAAGCAATCGGGCTGGCTGAATGTGCTCGACGCGGTGGTGCGCACGCCGACAGGACATGCAGAACACGTGCACGAGGAACCCAGCGGGGATGTTGGACTACGCGCATCCTGAAAAGGTGGTGTCGGGCCAAGTGGGCCCAAACGACCACTACGGCACACGACTTCACCTGCGCGGCGAAGCGGAGGCGGCGTTGCAGCGGATGCTGCATCTCCCGAAGCCGTTGCCTCTGCCCGACTTGCCGAAGAGGAAGGCGGACCCCAACAGCAAGAGATTTAAGCAGAAGGCCAAGCAGAAGCATCAGCAGAGCTTCAATGAGGGGCTAGCGAGCGCAGCGGAGCAGTTCTGCCGACCTCTGCGCTGCCCTCCCTTCCAGGTCCGATGCGAGAACCTGCCCAAGGAGTGCCAGGTCGTGGACGAGGGAGGGATGACCTGCTCGGCGGCATTGAATCGAGCGAGCACAACGGCGATGTCAGCGACTACGGCGAGCAGGAGACGAGCGCGGCCTCCCCCCTCAGCTTAGAGGAGGTCTTCAACAGCCGAGAGGACCAGCGCGATGTGTTCTGGCAGCTCAAGCTCGCCCAGGCGGCCCGTGGGACCGAAGGGCATGGAGGACGCCGCCCGACAACGCGAAGGAGACGCTGGCGTACCAGCTCGACCCGAGCGGGGTCAACGAGTTGGGCAAGCAGTTCGGGGCGTGGGTGCACGCGACGGAGCAGTACTACGTGAGCATGCTGAGAGTGGGACCCGCGGAGAGGAAGCGGTTCTGCGGGCGTGGCGAGGCCGTTTGCTTTACCACGAGGACCGTCAGGATGAGCGACAACGTGGCGTCCGACCTGGACTCGTCCATAGCGTGATGGGGCAAGTTGGCATCCTACCTGGTCGAGTTGCAGCTGTGCCGAGGGAAAGGGGCCCAGTGGCCTGAGGCTGTTGTCAAGCTGCAAGGCCATGAGCGGATCCATCCCAATCGGCGGCGTCGTCAAGATAACGGACAAGCACAAGCATGAGTGGCGCAAGACTTTGAACGAGATCGGCAGCCTGAACTGCGGGCAGCTCCAGAGTCTCGGTGTAGCAGCCTTGGCTACAGCAAGGAGAAGGAAGTTTGAGGAGGTGCAGGAGGCGCTGATCGGGCGCGCCAACGGGGCGAAGGAGCAGGAGGCGATCGGGGGCGGCAAGCTGCACAGGAGGACGCGCGACAAGCCGAGGTGCGAAAACGAGGTCAGGCGTGCCAGTTGGACTGCCTCCAACATGATCGAGTACATGGACGCGAAGGGCGCGCAGCGGAGCAAGAAGTGGACCAGTAACTACATGAGGGCCGCCACTGGGGATAGGCTCCACATCGCCAGAGAGGCGGCGCAGGGGGAGGTCTGGGCGCACATCACCACATAGAGCCTCAACATCGATGGCGAAGAGCAAGGCGAAAGGCGTCGAGCGGCTGGGGGCGCTGGCCTTTGAGTGGCTTCCACCCAGCGCGTGCGAGGAGCTTCTCAATCTCATCGTGCAGGTCGAGAGCTCGGGCACGTGGCCGTGGCAGTTGATGGTCACGCTGCTCAGCCTCCTGATGAAGGACGCTGGCGGAGACAGAGCTCTAGGTTTGCTTCGGGGATGGACAGAACCCCCTTTAGCAAAACGTGGTTTAGTGAAAACGACCTCGGGCCCAAATCTGGCGGGCGAAAGCCTGGAAACTGACGGCCACGGCGCCCTCTCGAGAACCGAAAACGGACAATTCACTAATCGACGTGTCACTATTGGGGGTTCTGTCCAGCCCCGATTGCTCTCCGAGGTGATGAAGACCTGGTCCAAGATCAGGAGCGAGTACACCAACGAGCGGGTGCAGAAAACGGCGGGCAAGTGGGGCGCAGCAGTCGTGGGCAACAGCTCTCTCGAGGGCCCTCTTGTCAGGTCCCTTGCCGACGAGGTGCTGGAGTGGGAGCACCCATGAAAATCTGTCCACGGTCACCGCGCCGTGGGACCTAGCAAACTTTTACGTCACGCGGGAGCCCGTCCTGATCTGGGCTCCGGCTCAGGATCCCAGCCGGCACTTTGCACCCGGAGATGCTGAGCCACTTGAGCGCGCGCCTCATCAGAGAGAGGACGGCATGCGCGGAGCCTATCGCGCCCGACAGGTCGATCTGCGCGGGCGGCTCTCTGCGCGATGCTGGAGAAGGCAAGCGACAAGTTCCAGGAGGTCCTGGTGCGCTCGTGGGTCGACGCCGTCACGACCAGGAGAGATCGAGGCGCGAGGTGGTCAAGCAGCTCACAGGAGTGGGGATCGACTTCGCAGCGGGAGCGAGGCAGGCCAAGCTCACCCTTTCGGGCAAGTCTGCTCTCGTCGGTAAACGACATGGACGTGGCGGAGGAGGCTGCGTCGAAGCTGACGGCGCGCAAGATCAAGCTGAAGGTGCAGAACCAGGCCCCAGACCTCGGCATCGACAGGCGCCGCAGCACTGCGGGCGGCAGGGGCAAGCGCGCCGAGCGGGCGACCCGCGCGGGCAGGCAGGCGGCGGGGGCGCCGAGGGCGGCGAGGAACGGCGGGCGAGCCGGAGGAGGCGCGGGGGCAGCCAGCCGTGCAGCGGGGGTCCTTACCCCGTGCAGCCCACGCATGCAGGGTGTTTGGCATTGCGCCCAGCACGGTCACGAAGCGGAGGCGCATGCTCCCCGCGGCGGTGGCCGTTGCCTCACGGCGCTGCTGCAGCTGGCGAGCGGCGCAAACGACCCGTCGTTTGGCTCAGCGTTCGCATTGCTGGACTCTTGTGTGCACATCATCAGCGACCCACAGCGCAGGAGCAAAGCCCTCCTCCTCCTCCTCCTCCTCCTCCTCATCATCATCATCATCATCATCACCATCACCATCACCATCACCATCACCATCACCATCACCATCACCATCATCATCATCATCATCATCATCATTTTCATCATCATCATCATCATCATCATCATCATCATCATCATCATCATCATCATCATCATCATCAGCATCATCATCATCATCATCATCATCATTATTATCGTCATCATCATCGTCATCATCATCGTCGTCGTCGTCATCGTCGTCGTCGTCATCGTCATCGTCATCACCACCATCTGGTCAAATATTGTCGCAACGATGGCGAAGCAGCCCGTGGTGTCATGGCACTGGATCTCGGGCGACGGCGAGGTTTTCAGCGGCGACGACCCCAACGCCCTCGACGACTATGTGGGCACCAGTGACCCCACGCCGGCGCTGCGAAAAGCCATCGAGCGGCGGCAGTGGGCCATGGCGGGGATGCACTGCGCGGGCGGAAGGCTCTCGAAGGAGGAGCGGACCTTCGTTCGGCGCGCAGGCTGCTGAGCAAGTTGAGGAAGAAGGGCGTGTGGGACAAGGTGGGGGCGTACCTCGCGATCCTGGTGAACGTTTTCTTATTCGGCGTTTCGACATTGGGCGAAAGGTGGGGGAGAGGGAAGGGGGACTGGCTCCAGACCTCTGCGCACTGCGACTGTTTGCAGCAGTGCTTCCGATGGGGGAGACTCCACCTGCTCGAAACAGGCGCCAAAAAACAGCCAGGGTCTACAGTCGGACTTGATTGGAGAGGACACGCGAGAGGACACAAGACCCTTCCGAGGGCCACGTCGCCACAGAAATGCAGGAGGCATGGGTAGCAAGACACAGGACACGAGGGTACCCTTGATCTGGCAGGGTCGACCTACTAATCTGGGCCGCCTGCACTCCATGAGGGGGGGGGGAGGAGGAGGGGGTGCGAGGGCCTGCGCCGATCCAGGGCAGCGCGCGGCGGACCTGGGCAGCGAGAGAGCGACGGCGCCATCGCGTGCCCACGGCGCGGGAGAGGCGCCGGAGGCGTGGCAGCAGCGCCTGCAGGAGCGCAAGCGTAACCAAACGCTGGAGGATGGTGACATTTTCTGTTGTCCCGTAAAGTTTCGGAAACCGGAAATACATCAGATTTGTATATAGATATATATATATATGTTTATAAACATATATATATACACACTTATATGTACCAATGTATCTCTCTCTATATCTCTCTATCTATTTATCAATGTGTGAAAATAAAACCTCACGGCTCAATGGTTTAACATGTTACTATGTTCTGGATGTCCCCGCATTGCTGGCGCCATCGATCCCGTGTGGGCCGAATGAATTCGGCGGAAATTGGAAATTCGCGGTCATTGGATGCGAGTCGTCTTCGTACCCCGCGCGACTTCACACACCGGGGCCCGAAAAAATGCAAGGGAAACGGCTGCGCACGGAAGCCCGAGCACCTGGAGGAGAGAGCCGAGGCTCTAGGTGGGAAGCCGACCCTGCCTGTGGCTTCTCGGGGCACGCCGCCGAATTGCTGGGCGGAAGGTCCCCCCCCCGCCTCAGCCCGGCGAGGAGCTCCACGAGATGCTCGGCAACCTGGGCGACCTCGGCCGCGAAGAGTGGGCTCAGCGCGGCGGGCGACGCGTCCGGGGGCGAGCCCACCATCAAGAGACAGCAAATCCACACCACCATAACAATCCCCCCGATACGCGAAGCCGTCCAGTAAACGCACCTATAGAAGGAATGGAACAGGGCAGGTCTGCTTAGTAAACGCCCAGGGCCGCTCAGCAAACGCCAATCATCGGGTCTGGGTGGTTTTGCATCCCTTGAGCCATGAGCCCGAGGATCAGAAGGGCGGCCTGGGCTGGGTCGCCCCCCGCACCCTGGACGCCAGCGAGGCCGAGGTAGCTGCAGGAGCTGCTGGGGGCACTCGGTGGATGGAGGCAAGGCGTCAACAGAGGAGAGCCGATGGCGCCGAGGGACGGTGCTGGAGGCGGGCAACAACCTCGGCACGATCGGGTACACCACAGACTCATCCTGCGTGGTTCGTGGCATGGCGAAGCTGAAGGAGGGCACGGTGCCCAAGACCCACATCGACTCCCTGGAATGCGGTGCGGGCGAGCGCTGAGGGCAGGGAGGTCATCGTAGATAAGGTGGAGAGTCACACGAGCGCCGAGGAGGCGGTGGAGGCTAACGTTAGGTCGGGCATGCCCCCTCACAGGCGGGTTTTGGATGAAAAATCAGGAATACCCCCAAAATAGCAAAGCATATGGATAACATGCTCAAAACATCGTCCCCAGACTATTTTTGAATCTTCCTCCTGTAGAGGGACATGCCCGACTGAAGGCCAACGTGAAACCGATCGGCTGGCTCGGGAACTCGCTCGCGGACGACCTCGTGGAGGGCATCATCGAGCGGGTGTACGTGCCAGAGGCGAAGGCGAAGACCGTGGGCTTCGCTGAAGGGGTGACGGCTGACGGTCCACGGAGCGACATCGCACGCCCAGCTGGCCGCGGGGGAGCGCGGGGCGCAACGAAAGCCCGAGGCGAGAGCGCCGCCGGAAGAAGCACCCGGGCAACGCGGCCTGGGCGAGCACCACTGAGGACGCCCAGGGGGTGGGCGGCGTCATGCGTCCGCGGCACGGAAGGCGCAGGCGAAGACCGTGGGCCGCGCCTGCGCCACTCTTGCGGCCTCGATAGACCTCGAGCCGATGCAGGTGCCCAGCCAGAAGATCAGGAAGGAGGCCTACATCCAGAAGCGGAGGCGGGCGGCGCTGCTCGCAGGCACCGACCACAGCATCGCCTACGACGTGAGCGGCAAGCACTTCCTCTGTCCGCGGTGCGGCTCGCGAACGCTCATGGCGGCAGCGGACGGGTGGCTCGGAGGCGAGTGCAGGAAGATGGCCATGGACCGAGCTGGGCCCACCAGGCACGCGCAGCAGTCGGCCGCAGATCGGCAACCAGGAGGCCCATCCGAGCCACAAGATAGAGTGCGACGATACGCCGGAGCTCCACTACGGTGCCCTCTGCGACTGCATCGGCCGCGAGGGCATGCGCAAGCTCAGGTGGCGAAGTGCGACGAGACGCCTGGACAGATGGGCCACCATAACCTGTCGAGAATCAAGAAGGGACTGCAGCCAGGCACCAGCGCGCTGGCCAAGCACTTCAACGATTAGAAAAATAATGATCATAAGAAGAATAGTAAGACCACGAAGCATACTAATTATACAAATGATACGAAGACTTACTAGGGGTGCTGAGTGCTGCGCGCCGCTTGCGCGTGGCAGGCCGCCCCTGTCTGGGCCCAGCCTGGGCCAACGGCGTCGCCGACCCTGCGGCACAAATCATCATCATCATCATCACCACTACCATCATCATCATCGTCATCATCATCATCATCATCATCATCATCATCATCATCATCATCATCATCATCATCATCATCATCATCATCATCATTATAATCATCATCAGCAAGATCACCAACATCATCACAACCATCACCGTCATCATCGCCATCATCATCGCCATCACCACTATCACCATCTTCATCATCATCGTCACCATCATTGTCATCGTCATCATCACAATCGTCATCATCCTCATACTCATCCTCATCCGAATCCTCATCGTCGTCGTCGTCGTCATCATCGCCATCATCATCACCATCATCGTCATCGTCATCATGATCATCATCACCGTACGCATCCTCATCCTCGTCATCATAGTCAACGTCATCCTCGGCGTTATCCTCATCATCACCATCGTCGTTGTCATCACCACCACTACCACCGTCGTCGCCGTCGTCGCCGTCACCGTCGCCGTCGCCGTCGCCGTCGCTGTCACCGTCGCCGTCGCCGTCGCCGTCGCCGTCGCGGTCGCCGTGGTCGTCACCGTCATCGTCGTCGTCGTCGTCGTCGTCGTCATGATCCTCATCGTCGGCATCATCTGCCACGATATGTTACACTCCGCCCCTTGGCATGCCTGGGCCCTCAGTGCGTCCATTGGGTCGGCGTAGAGGCCGCCGAAGCGCTGCTCGTACCAAGCGTCGAGGTACCTCGCCCCCCCAAAGGGGCGGGGGGGCCGCGAGGAGCGAGCGAGCGAGCACGCCGCAGTGCTGCCGGGGACGATCGTACAGATCACATGGTACGGTCAAAACTGATAGGAAGGATGATGCTCGACTTCCCAAGGGTACCCCTGCTAGAGGGCAGACAATCCACCCCGATAATAAGCACCCCGACAAGCGAGGCCGCTTCGTAAACGCACCCGAAGAAAGAATCGAACAGGGCAAGGCTGTTGAATACACGCCCAAGGCCGTTCAGCAAACGCCACTTATCGGGTCCGGGTGATTTTTCTTCCCTTGACCTGCACCTCTGCCTCTTCGGTCATCTTCGGCCCATCCTCGACCGCTCTAAGGCTTCGGCGTGGGCGTCCGCGGCCCTCGCACTGAGCGCGCCTCCCAGCCATCAGTCTTCCCCGTTGGACGTCCTCTGCGCCAGAGTCCACGTCCGACGTCAGAGGACGGATCTCCACTGCCCTCCAGGCGAGGACGCGTGGAGGGCGCCTGCGATGCGCTGCCCCTCCTCCTGAGACCTCTTGGGCCTCGGCGTCTCGTGGGTCGGACCAGCTTGACGCGGGGCGGCGGGCCGAGGCAGGCCTGCCCCCCCCCCCCCCCTGTCGTGTGGGTCAGTCGCAGCGTCGGCCGAGAAGGCAGGTCGGGCTCCCGAGGGGCGGCATTCTCCGCGCGCCAGGGAAGTGGGGCCCAACGCCGATCCGAGAGATCCGCGTGGACCAGGAAAGGGTTACAGCATAATCTATCTATCTATCTATCTATGTATATATAAATGTATAATTACGCATATGTATATATATATATACACATATGTATATACATATATATATATATATATATATATGTGTGCCCACTAACGCTTTAGAGAAAGAAACCTGGGGGGAACGCGCTCAAGATGCTGGGCTAGCTGTCCCGCAACACGAGACGGATGAGGATGAGGATGAGGACGGGGATGGGGATAGGGATGGGGATGCTGATGCTGCTGCTGATGATGAGGAGGAGGACGAGGAGGAGGAAGAGGAGGGGGGGAGGAGGAGGAGGAGGAGGAGGAGGAGGAGGAATAGGAGGAGGAGAAGGAGTAGGAGGAGAAGGAAAAGGAGGATGATGATGATGAGGAGGATGAGAATGAGGATAAAGATGATGATGATGATGATGATGATGATGATGATGATGATGATGATGATGATGATGATGATGAGGATGAGGATGGGGATGGGGATGGGGATGGGGATGGGGATGGGGATGGGGATGGGGATGGGGATGATGATGATGATGATGATGATGATGATGATGATGATGATGATGATGATGATGATGATGATGATGATGATGATGATGATGATGATGATGATGATGCTGATGGTGATGATGAGGAGGAGGAGGAGGACGCGGAAGAGGAGGAGGAGGAGCAGGAGCAGGAGCAGGAGGAGGAGGAGGAGGAGGAGGAGGAGGAGGAGGAGGAGCAAGGACGACGATTGTGAGGAGGTTCTGAATCAAATTCTCGACACTATGCTTCTGCAGTGTTTCCCCCCCGCCCACCCTCCCCTCGACGGCAGGCGGGGCCGCGGGTGCCTGCGGTCCAGCGCCCGCGCGCGCTCCAAGAAGGCGCCCTCCGAGGACGCCGAGCCTCGGGGCGGCCACGGCCACGGCCGCGGCAGTAGGGGGGAGGAGGAGGAAGGGGAACCGGAGGAGGATCGAGGAGCAGGATCGACGAGGAAGATCGAAGAGGATCGGGGAGGATCGGGGACGCTCGAGGGGGATCGACGAGCATCGTGGAGGATCGAGAAGCATCGATGAGGGTCGAGGGGGATCGAGGAGGATCGAGGATGAGGATGAGGATGAGGATGAGGATGAGGATGAGGATGAGGATGAGGATGAGGATGAGGAGGAGGAGGAGGAGGAGGAGGAGGAGGAGGAGGAGGAGGAGGAGGAAGGGGAGGAGGAGGAGGCTGAGGAGGTGAAACGACGGAGGGAGGGCGCGGGGACGTTGCAAGCGGTGCCGCTGAACTTGGAAAGGTGGGAGGAAGGAATGAGGAACGAGGGGGAGCGCAAAGGCCAGAAGAGGGATGCGGGGGGTGAGGGGAGGAGGGCGAGGGGCGAGATGAAACGACGGAGGGAGGGCGCGGGGACGTTGTGGGCGGGGCCGCTGAACTGAGCAAGGGGGGAGGAGGGAATGAGGAACGAGGAAAGTAATAGAGTAAATAATGATGATGAGGAAGAGGAGTAAGAGGAGGAGGAGGAAGAGGAGGATTGATCGAACGATCGAGCTCTTGGGCCAGTTCGGTGCTATAATCCCTCGACTCGAGCTGAGCTGCTTTCAAACATATAATATGGCCTAGCTGTGTTCGCTTCGCGGGAAGGGGGTCGCCGGCGCCATGTGGCGCTCAGGCCCTGCCTGCACCGACCTCCCCACGCAAGGGTCCGCGGGCAGGGTGGCACCCGCGTTTGCGGGTGCCCCCTCTGCTGCCTCTCCCCGCCCCTGTCCTGGCCCCTTCTCCCCCTTCCCTTTCGCTTCGGCTCGGGGGCGTGTGTCGACGCATAGCAACAGAGCTCGGGAAATTCGCGCCCAGGGCTGAACAATCTCTGGGGCATCCTGCTGAGTAGGAAGGGGGAGTCCACCATTCTGTACTAATGCGCGAAAGCGAACGCTCTTTTTTAACATTCTCGGCACATCACGGGGTAAGGAGGTCTGCGGAACGGGGCGAAGCTGCACTCTATGCTAAGCGGCCGCTACGGCCTCACCTCGACGGTCTTCTTGAGCCCTCGTCCGTTGATCAGCCTGCTCAGCTCCCGCTCCAACGCTCCCCGAGGCGTCGCCCTCACTTTGCGCGTCGCGCCCTCCTTCTTCAGCTGGTTCGCGACGGTGGTATCGAGCTGATGGTGTGAATTCGTCACCTGGAACTCGAACCTGCACCTCTCGTGCGCTCCGCCCTCCTTGCCTTCGTTGCGTCTCGCCTTGAAGACTGGGGCGGAGTCTGTCACCAGCTCCGCGTTGCCACTGAGGATCGTCTCCTGATCTGAAGGGGAACTGGAACACACAAATAAATACACACAAATAAAAATATCCCCCATATTTTCCCATATTTTCTGGGATTCTGTCTTCCCCCCCACTTCCCATATTTTCCCATGTTTTTGGGGGGATCGAGGATTAATTGTGTCTGTGTGTTTCTTTCCCTCCTGATGATCGTGTTTCTCGATGATCTGCTTCGCCGCCCCGCCCCCCCAGGTTGCGCCCCCAATAGACCGCGACGTCCGTCCAGATCTTCGCCTGCGGGCTGCCGAGGGCCGCCGCGTCGACTTGCTCTCCCTGCGCTGTCCTCCTGCGCAGGTCCGGCGCCGCGTCGTTGTGATCCTCGTCGCCGTCGGGCGCCGCAGTAGCTATGTTCGCGGCCGCCGTGATCTCCTATGTCTGCAAGGCCGCCGGGGCCAGCTCTGCCTGCTCTCTTGCCCGTGTACGTGCCAAGCACGCCGTAAGGTCTAACGCTTGATGGCTTGGTGCTGCCGCTGCGTCTCCCGCTGGCCCCGCGGGTGCTCGTCGCCCCTGTTTGCTTCGGTCTTGGCGCGCTGATCCTGCTGGCGCCGTCGCGCCGCGCTGTGGCCTCATCGGGCAGCGCCATCCTGCTTTGGAGGCAGTAGCAGCGGTCTCGGCAAGTGCGCGCGCAAGCGTCTGAAGTAACGCCAATTCTCCAAAACCAAACGACTGCAGATCGGGCATCTCGGATTGCGAGGTTCACGCGTGCATCGGTTTCTCGCTTTGTCTTGCTTGCGGCATCCTGTCGCCGTGCTTCTCGCCGGGTGCTTCAGCGCCGTGCCTCTGCTCGTGAATGCTTGCCCGCGAGTGATGCGCGCTGTGTTTGGTGCTTGTGCTGCGACTAGATTGCGCGCGCGATGGTTTCGCATGATGTGGCCGTGAAGTGCCTTTTTGCTTGCAGGGGGCAGTCCGCGCCCCGCCTCCACCTTGAGTTGCGCTTCCGGGGTTGTAGTTCCCGTGAGGCTGGCTCCTCTCGTAGTTCGTCGTTGTGTCGGACTCGCGGAGGGGTGCTGCCGCTGCCAGCTGGGCGCGCCTTGCTTCTCTGACGTTCAGTAGGTCTAGCTGCTCTCGCGCGTTCAGCGCGAATCGTTTGCGGATCGAGATCTCGCCGCCGAGTGCCGCGCGACAACTCGTCGAAACCCCGCGGGCGTGCGCGATGCCATTCGCCAGTCTTCGGCCCCGAGGATTCGCGTCGCTCTTGAGCTCGTCGGCCGCGTCTTCGCCGCCCTCCCCCTCGAACTCGATTCGGCCGAACGTCGCGGCGAGCAACTGGCGGCGCTTACTCGGGGATCTCAGGGTGCTTCTCTTCCCCGGCCAAGTCTGTCCGCTGGCGGCAAGACTGGGCAGTGGCGAAAGACGTCCAACGTGGTCGTGCCCCTCGCGCTGCCATCTTGACGGGGGGTAGTAGCTCCTCCTCTCATTGCCCGTCGGAGGAGCGCGCCCATCGCACTCTTCAGCTGCAGGTGCTCGTTCGGCGTCGGGAGGGAGCGCTCGATGTGCGAGGGGCCCGCGTTGGTGACCCGGCGGATGAGAACCGCGCGCTTCTGCCTGAACGGGGTTCCAGCCCTCGCCCGGCCTCCGCGCTCGTAGTGGCTCTGCCTCATCGCCCGGACGCGTCTCTGGGCCTCCGCGGCGTAGCTCCGCGTCGCCGTAGTCTGGGGGCCCAGGTCGCGCGCTGCTTCGGGCGCTTTGACTGGCATCCCTGGAAGAAAATTCTCCTGAATGTCGCGGTGCGCCTTGGTGGTGACATTGCCCTGGATGTGCGCTCTGTCATCCTGCTTGTCCTGGTTATGTCGCATCCCGATCTCATCCAGCCTCGCGCAGGGCCTCGTCTGCCTTCCTTGCCGTGCCCGCCAGCTCCTGCGCGCTCGCGTCGTGGCCGCCGAGGGTCAGCTCCCTGGGGGTCGCCCGTGTACATGGCGGGGCCGAAGAAGATTGCGCGTGGGAACAGCTCGCTCTTGCCGTGCAAGAGGCTGTCCGTCTCGATCTTCCACCCGCCTCTCGGTGCAGGGTGCGATGCCCGCCGCGAACTTGCAGGCCGTGCGCGGGTCTCCGATGAGCCCTCCGCAGCGCGGCTTAATGCGTGCTCCCCTGACCGTGTTCCCACCTGGAATGTTGAACGTGGCTCGGCGATGCCATTGCTCTCCGAAGAGTTCCAACTCGTCTTCTAGCCTGATCTTGCTGTTGGCCGCGCCCATGGTTAGCCGCGAGCATCTCGCGAAAGCGTTCCAGACATCCTCCCGCGTGGGCGTGCCGGTCTCGTTGTGTATTCCACCCTTGCCATCGTCAGTGTCGCCCCCTCTCGTCGCCTTCCTCTGATGGGGCCATGGCCGTGGTCGCTGTGCACATTGTGCTGTTTCTCCTCATCCCTGCCGGGTAGTGTGCCTTGCCGATCGGGTCCATGATGTGGCAGATTATCTTGCCTGCGGGGCCTGGCTTCGTATTCTTCCGCACTGCTGTCGCTGCGCTCTGGCGCCGTCTGGCCGGCGCAGCGTCGCCGTTTCTCATCGTGGCCAGTGCGGCTCTGAATCTAGCCTCGAAGCCTTCAGGTCGTTATGATCCTCACTCCGCCCCAGGTCCTTGTCGTTGCTGCTGTTGGGGTTCGGGTGGGCGGCGTAGCAGTAGTCGCCATAGCTCCGATGGCGCTGCATTTTGCGGTGCCACCCTTCGCAGCGTGGCCTTCTTTAAGCACTTCGCGATCTCCTCGTGGTCTGCTTCCACTTGGACTGCTAAGTCTTTCTCGTGATTATCTGACTCTTCCGCCAAGTGCGGTATCTGCTCCAACTCCTCCTCGTTCTGCTCCGCGCCTTTCATTCCTCCTTCGCCTCCTTGTAGTTTCCAGGAATCAATCCACGCCTTCGTGGTCGGGTTCGCGGTGGCCGCCGTCCAATCGTCTCCCTTGCATGGTCCGTGGCGTCCTTCAGTTATGAGTCGTGACACTCGTCCAGCTCTTGCAAGGTCTCGTCTCTCCCAGGCCTCGTGCAATTCGAATTCCTAGACCCTGGCGCCCTTCCTCTGCTGGAAATCTTGCTTCCGTGGTTCTGCGCACTGCTGGGTGATCTGCTTGAGCTCCTGCTCTATCTCCCTGCTCCCTGAGCGCGATCTCTGTCTCGCTGAGCTCGGTCAGCTCCTCCTCTTCGGCGTGGGGGTTCTTCCCTTCGCTGTCCCTCAGGCCCACTGGGTTCTCCTGGGTTTCCGAGGGTTTCTCGACCACGGGCCCCGGTTTGGGTCCTTCCGCATCCCGGGGGGTTTGTGGCGACGAGGTCGATGCTGGCGGTTCGCCTCGACGTTCGTTTTCGTGATCTACTCCGCCTCGGCCTTGCGTGGGTTGTCCGAGTCGAACTTGATCGTGAGGTATGGTCCATGTTGTCGTAACTCTGCCCTGCCCTCTCGTCTCCGTCGTCAAAGGCCACGCCATTTGTGGCCGGCTTGGGCCCGTAAAACTTCTGGGCTGATTTGGCGATCAACTCGCCAATGTCTTGGCAGAGTGCGTCTGTTTCGTTTTCCCCTGGTTTGTGCTGCTCCACGTTCTGCTCGAGGTCGCTGATGGACTCGTTCCTGTTGTGTCCTTGTCTGGCTGCCCGTGCCAGCCCATG